ACTTCTGAGCAGTTCTCATTTTAATAGATCTATAAGATTAATCTACGACTTTTCCATTAGTAATTTTGACAATGACACATTTTTACTGGCGAGTTGTGCCGTTTCGCTGTAACTTCCTCTGCGTCTGTTATCTGGTTTTCAGTCAGACCACAAGTTTCAGTGCGAGTTGAACATTACAACATCTGGTTTCAACCTCAGACTGCAAATGCAAATGCAGACTATATGATTACACACAATATTTCAAGTACTAGCTATATAATATTTAATCAGATCCTCTGAATCGGCATCCGACATCTGAGTTTGAATGCGCAGGTTCATATCAGTCAATCTGGAGACAACGTCATGTTTACAGAGTTAGCTTTTGAGGATGAAATAATGATTGAATTTGGCAGGTTCATGGCTTCCGATTTTTAAAAGATACTCAAAATGTAAGTATCACAAGCTTAAAGGTGAGTTACAGTTATAATATGTGAAATCTGTATTAATTACATTTGGAAAGACAAATTCTGAAATGATGCTCTAATTTCTGCTGCTTTCTGTGCTGGTGTTTGAGGACCAACGTCATTGTGCATTTTTATGTTTTTATTTTATTCCTCATTGGTTTGTTTTTTGGTATCTGGTACACTGTAAAAACCTGGTAAGCTGCAAATGTTACCTCAAAGATTTATTTCTACCTTATTTAACCCATAAACGTTAGTTTTGTTGGAATAAATGGATGTATTTAGCTTGATACAGTGATAAATATGTATTTTGACTTGAATAAAACCAGTTAATTTAGATGTTACCTTTTTTTCTCAGTGTATTTGAGATGAACTACAGAGTAAAATTTCCAGAAAACTTGAACATCAATGGTTGGTCACTTAAATGAACGTCATGTGAAGCTATAAAGTAGTTCAGACCTCGTAACAAATGAAGTGATAAGTAACAGGCTTCTTCACAAATTTGAAATTATTAGTTTATATTTTTTTTTTTTTTCAAAACAACAAACTTGTATATGAAATGGCCATTCTGTGTTTGATCTGATGAAGTTCTTTTGATACCTTAACCTTGTATGATATAATATTGTGCAGTTTAGAGGTCAGTAGATGGTTGCAACAAACACCCTAATTTAAGAAAAACTTCATTTGTTCATCATTATAACGGTTTGCTTAATTTAAGTGGGTTTGTTGCAACCAGGACAAACAATGATGGAGATCAATGCAGAAATAAACAGTCTTTATTAATAACAAAGCATAAAATATTTGGCACTTTGGTGTCTTGTCTTTCAGATAATAATGTAGTGAAGAGGAAAAAAGTTCACTATGGCACGAGGTAGAGTTGGTTCGTTCGTATGTGCTTAAAACTTCACGTTGATGTTTTTATATAAGTTAAATATAACATCATAATGCACGTCACCTTCATATAAAGCACTACGAATGTCCATCTGGTTATTAAAAAAGACTATAATACAATATTTGCTTTATATAAACTTCTATGAAACTAAAGAGGTTTGAATATTATACAAATAGCATGTTGTTCTGTCTTAAATGTTGCTCTCGTGCAAATATATCTTTAAGGAAACTATGATAAAAACTCACAATCAGATTGAAGAAATAGTTCACATCCAAAAACTCATTATGACATGAGTAAATAATGACTTTGGGTGAACTGTTAATTCAAAATATATTAAAACAAGCATTTCTTAAACAAAAACAATGGTTGTATTTATACACTATCATTCAAACTACTTGGGTCAGCAATATTTTTTTAATGTTTCTGCTCACCGAGGCTGCATATATGTGATTATTACAATTTAAAATAACTTTTTTCTATGTGAATATACAGTAAAATCGAATTTATTCCTGTGATGCGCAGCTGTATTTTCAGCATCATTACTCCAGTCTTCAGTGTCACATGATCCTTCAGAAATCATTCTAATATGCTGATTTGCTGCTCAAGAAACATTTCTGATTATTATCAATGTTGAAGACAGTTGTGCTGTTTTTTGTGGAAACTGTGATACATTTTGCTTTTCAGGTATCTTTAATGAATAGACAGTTCAAAAGAACAGCATTTATTTGAAACCGAAATCTTTTGTAAAATTATAAATGTCTTTACTGTTACTTTTGATCAATTGAATGCATCCTTGCTGAATAAAAGTATTAAATTCTTTAAAAAAAATAATGATAATAATTACTGACCCCAAACTTTTGAACAGTAGTGTAGGCTTTAAGTTCTTTACATTATGTGCAATAAAATATAGTATTTAAGACTCAAAGCATCCAGCATCAGTGAATCTGTGTACTGTCCGCTCAAGATCAGGTCTTGATGTTGAAGTGACGCTGATGTTGTGAGTTTGTCCTGTATGAAGCGTGGCTCTGGAGGATATGAGAACAGCTGTAAGGCTCCTTCAGTCTCATCTCTGTCCAGAGCACTGTGTGTGTGTGTGTGTGTGTCCACCGAGACTTCAGATAAGCGCTCGAAACAGAAACGACAGAGACGCTCCGAGAGCCAGACCGAGAGACAGGAAGAAGGCCATGATCGTTCCAGCCGTCTCCGCCTCGCTCGCATCCACCTTCCTGTCCACAAAAACAACAGATACGCTCAGAGCTGAATGGATCTATTGTAAATTAATGTGTCTTAAGACAGTGGTTCAGAACCAAGGGCCTCAAGATGACTTAAAATTATTTAAAATAAGCCATTTTAATTCACCCCCCTCAAAAATGTTCCTTGAAGAACCTGGATTTACATAGTCTTGGAAAATGGGAGTCTCATGTGTGACCCTGGACCACAAAACTAGACATAAGGGTCAATTTTTCGAAATTGAGATTTATACACCATCTGAAAGCTGAATAAATAAGCTTTCCATTGATGTATGGTTTGTTATTAATAATAATATTTGGTTGAGATACAGCTATTTGAAAATCTGGAATCTGAGGGTGCAAAAAAATCAAAATATTGAGAAAATCGCCTTTAAAGTTGTCCAACTGAAGTTCTTAGCAATGCATATTACTAATCAAAAATGAAGTTTTGATATATTTACAGTAAGAAATTTACAAAAAATCTTCATGGAACATGATCTTTACTTAATATCCTAATGATTTTTGGCATAAAAGAAAAATGTATAATTTTGACCCATACAATGTATTGTTGGCTATTGCTACAAATATACCCCAGCGACTTAACACTGCTTTTGTGCTCCAGGGTCACATTTTATAAGTGTGATTTCTAGTCATGGAAATTAATCAAATATTTTCCATAATGAATATAAATTTGTCTAGATATGCTGAGCTCTAAAAAAAAATTATCAGAGAGAAATTGAGTAAAAAATGATTTTTAAACAAGTCCTTAAGGCAAGACTGTACATATTTTAATTTTAACTAATAGATATCAACAATACTTCCCCAGTTGATTAATCACAGTACATTAAGACAGTTTATTTTGCAAGTCTTCTGAAATACTATGCAAATTATGCATTATTTAATTAAATATGCACTATTTTCATATATTTCCAGAAAATAAATCTGAACTTTGGATAAAGCCAGGTTCAAAATTGTTTGATTTTGTTGACATATTAAGAGTTAAAGCTTTTTACTGAGGGGATTTTTGATTTATCTTTTTATCACTCCATAAATACTGAAAATACAGTTATCAGCCAGAAAACAATCACCATGTTTTAGGAATAAAATGTTACATATATATCAGAATTGTGAATGATATATCAACAAACCCTTCAGTAAAAACCTTCAGAATATAGATAGGAATAAAACTGTTAAGTCTGGTGTATTTAAGTGCTGCTGATGTGGAGGAAAAACTTTTAAAGATATGTAAAGTATTTGAAATCTACAGAGACGTAAATAGATAAAATGCAATAATAAAACCAGGCGAATGATATATGAACAAACCCTTCAGTAAAAACCTTCAGAATATAGATAGGGAATAAAACTGTTAAGTCTGGTGTATTTAAGTGCTGCTGAAGTGCAGGAGAAAACTTGACAGCCTTTAAAGATATGTATTGTAATTTAAATCTACAGATGCAAATATATAAAGTGCAATATCATAGATACTTAGATGTGTATTTTGGATATTTAATTTCACTAGTCTTAAAGAAAATATGAAAGCAAAAGACCCCAAAATTTTATGCCTTAAAACTAATCTAGTGAATCTCAAACGACTGGAAATGTCATGCAAATTGACTGGTTACAAAGAGTGGGAATCCTTGAGAACATTCAACTTATAAAACTTCTGGAATTCTAAAATGTAACAATTTTGTTTACGTATTTTACGCTACTTAATTTAATTTATGGGCACTCCTTATTTTAAATCTATACATTTAAAAATGGCAACAATGTTGAGGACCACTGGTCTAACATTAATCACGTTGTTTTAGTATCATTGATATATTATAGGTTTTGTAAATATTTTGAATTAGATTTTATTTTCAATTTTAATGTTTTTGTAAATTTGCTGTGTGTTTTTGTCATTTTATTATTTGTTTTAAATAAGTCTAGATGGTTTTTATTAGTTTTTATTTCAGTTTTAGTTATTTTCATACTTCAAATTAAACTTATAACTAGCTGAAATAAAATAAGTTCAAGTTTTTTATATTTTCAGTTAATATTTTATTTCAAGTAATTAAAGCGTTTTATGGTTTTAAGGTTTTAGATTTAGTTAATGATAATAACCCTGATGTGTCTTAGTAAATCAGGATTCTGTCACTCAGTACTTTACTCACTTGGGTCCGAAGCACATGCACAGACTCGCCAGATATCCATTAGAAAAAGCAAAGAGGATCATGAAGCCGATGAACCAGCCGTCGTGTGAGAAGTAGACGGGCAGATTGTGGCGAGGCTTGACGTTACAGAGCATGAAGAGAGGGACAAAAATCACACGGGCCACTAACAGACCCGGCAGCAGCTTACTGTCTTTACCAGGCTGAGAGACAGAGACAGAGAGAGGTCAAAATAACACATGCATGAATAGCATAAAACTGTTTTACTATTGAATGCATTTGTGACAATGGAGCACAAAACCAGCCATAAGGGTCAATTTTTTTCAATTGAGATTTATACATCATCTGAAAGCTGAATAAATAAGCTTTGCATTGATGTATGGTTTATTAGGATCGGAAAATATTTGGTCGAGATACAACTATTTGAAAATCTGGAATCTGAGGGTGCAAAAAAATCTAAATATTGAGAAAATCATCTTTAAAGTTGTCCAAATGAAGCTCTTAGCAATGCATATTACTAATCAAAAATTAAGTTTTGATATATTTACGGTAGGCAATTTACTAAATATCTTCATGGAACATGATCTTAATATCCTAATGATTTTTGGCATAAAAGAAAAATTAATAATTTTGACCCATACAATGTATTGTTGGCTATTGCTACAAATATACCCCAGCGACTTAAGACTGGTTTTGTGCTCCGGGGTCACATTTGTGTTTTGCATTATTTAATTGCTCAAAGTAACTAATATCCATCCAGTCATCTGTATTTATTACTGTATGTAAATCCTCCCACCTGCTGATTCTGAGACGCATATATTTTGTGAATATATGCATGTTTTTGTGATTTATTGTTCTGAAGGATCCACGTATAAACACAAATATTTGTATGATCCTCCCTAGAGGAAGATCTATCTGCAGCAATATGAACATACAGCAACCGTAACAAGTGTTTGAACGCTTTAGTCACACTTAAAAAATTGCATGTAGATAGAAAATATCAGAGCAAGTGTCTTTTATACTAAAAATAAGATGCATAAACACTTTGCAATGAAAACAGGAGTCATTTATACTAAAGAAATGCGCTCAAACACTTTGCAACCAACACGTTTGGTAAAAAGAAGTTTGTACAGTTTGAAAATGGAGTTGCATAATGTTTCTTACCCACATACAGACAGCGGTCAGACTGCGACCCAGCCAATCAAACACGTTGAATAACAGGAAACAAGACACTGGGATGAAATACAACTCTAAAAAGAGAGAATTTAGCCATTATGTATAGGAGCTTTTAATATAAGCCGCAAACAAAATGTCTTCATATTCAAACATTGAAATGTTTTAATATTACCACGAACTTCACAGTTTGTAAATGCATAAAGAGCAGCAGATGATTTATGATCTAAATATATTTTGGATCTCATTGTTTTCATGCTTTCACAAATAATTCACCACACAAAACACACTGTGGTTATTTGCATTAAGCATTGATTTCCCCTGTTTTCTGTAACATTATCTGTGAAAGCTTATTGAATGAATTAATGAATTTAAAGGTAATTGCAACTTTTTATGCCATAATTCAGACTTTTTTCTCTCAATTCTGAGTTTATATCTCACAATTCAGACTTTTTTCTCTCAAAAATGCAAAATATAAACACAATTCTGCAAAAAAAAAAAAAAAAATTGTGAGATGTACGATCTTTGACTTCATTTTATAGGTTTAAAAATGGTTTGTTTTCTTGTTTTGAAACCTTGTAATTGCTTTAGATGATATATCTGTTTATATCTATAAGTGGTAGGTAAATATTATTATTTCATGTGTTAATATTGTAGTGGGGGCTTTGTTGTTCTGAGTGATGAGATTATTGTTGTTTGTTTTGTGTTATGCTATCTAATTTTTGTGTATTAGCACCCCCTTGAAAACGAGATGATGCATCTCAAGGGGTTTATCCTAAAGAATAAATTTGCATATATATATATATATATATATAGTATATATATTATATATATATTGGTGAGTATATATATATATATATATATATTAACTCAGAGTTTATCCGGACTATAATATATAAACTCAGAATTACAAGAAAAAAGTTCTGTTTTTGAAAAAAATACAAATAAAAATGAAAGCGTTATTACAATATGAATTTTTATCTCACAATTCTGTTTTTTTTTTCTCACAAGTCAAATTGTGAGATATAAACATATAAAAAGTCGGAATTGTGAGGGAAAAAAAGTTGGCAAAAAAAGGAAATTGCACATTTTTATCTCACAATTCAGATTTTTTTCTCAGAATTCCGAGATATAAACTCAGAATCTCAAAGTCAGAGTTGCAAGGTGTTACCTTGAGTTTATAATTTGTAATTCCAAATTGAAAAAAAAAAAAAAAAAGTCAGAATTGTGGGATAAAAAAAAATCAACTTTTAACTCACAATTCAGACTTTTTTCAGAATTGCAGAGATATACACTTTTTATTTTATTCCAAAAAAAAGATATAATAAAATAAGCTTCCATAATAATCAGACTCGTTATCAGACTGTGAATGGTATAGAGTCAGACTCATTGAACTCTCACCCCACTGTCCGCCATCAGCAATAGTAGATTTAACATCCACAGTGATGGCGGGAAACGTGCCGATGGTGATGGTGAAGGCGAAACACACAGAGAACGCCATAACCCAGATCTGACGAGAGAAATACAAGAAAAACTCACACTTTCAGCTGGGCTAAACTCACTGACACAAAAACACTAAGGTGTTATGAGTATTGTTGCTATGCAGTTGCTAAAGTGTTCTGAGTATTGTTGCTATGCAGTTTCTAAGGTGTTATGAGTATTGTTGCTATGCAGTTGTTAAAGTGTTCTGAGTATTGTTGCTATGCAGTTTCTAAGGTGTTCTGAGTATTGTTGCTATGCAGTTTCTAAGGTGTTATGAGTATTGTTGCTATGCAGTTTCTAAGGTGTTCTGAGTATTGTTGCTATGCAGCTGTTGATTTTAATGTGTTTACCTTCTTAAAGATGACCAGTATGGATGGTGTTTGTTTGTTGTCGTCTCCAGCGCTCTTCTGCCGCTCATCTACAGACAGTTCAACTTTAAAACAGGTTTTTGACTGATATTCAGATTCAGAGGTTTTGATGTGAATTTTTGTGACGTCACCTTTCTTCAGAAGATCCATCTTGTTCTCTTCATCCTCAGCTGGTTTGCTCTGCTGACTCTCCTGATAGTACTGAAAAAACTCCTACAGAAGACAAACAGCAAAAAGACTGTAAATGTTTCAGGTTTTGAATCGACGCCTTCGCTTTCTCCAGCCGCTCAGATCTTACCAGTTTAGGAAGGAGAACGTATGCTGCGATGGCGAGGGAAATAACGACACACGCTGTGATGAAGTATCCAAAAGCGCTGTCATGTATAGCAGAACCACCTGAGAGAGAGAAAATTAGGTTTACTGTATATAAACATTATATTCCATCACAAAATTAAGGGAATCTGATTTTCTTTTTAAATAAATAAATAAATAAAAATTGCTTTTTAAATTAAACAATCTTCTTCCGCTTTTTTTTGTAACACAAGGATTTACAGTAAATACATGTTAAAATATAAAAATATCAATTAAAAAAATTCATTAATTAAAAAAATAAATAAATATATATATATAGAGAGAGAGAGAGCGAGAGAGAGAGAGAGAGAATTTATATATTTGTAT